AAGGGAAGAGGAAAAGAAAGAGCAGAGTTATTGGGACAAAAAGGAATTCTGGAAACACTTTAAGTCCAAAACCTAAATTTTACATTAAAAAATGTATTGCAGGAAGCCAGGCTGGTAGGACCACTGGGTTCCTCAGTTGAACCAAAATAACAGAAAAAAAAATCTGAGAAAAGGAGGGAGGGAAATGCTCATTTTGTCACAGAATATAAAAGGGAAACTATTCTCTCGATTTCTGTTTTAAAGGACTGGTTTTACTTGATTTCAGCTGGTCTGCAAAATTTTACATAAACGTGTGAAATTGATATTTCATTCCCTTTGGGTTTTCTTTCCATCCCCACATCGTCACCATCAACTTCATTTCTATTGCGTTTACGATAGGCAGAAACAAATGCAGCTCATCCTGTAACACTGTGCATCTTGTTTGAGAAAGTAGACATCGCCACTGTTAAGGGGACCCAGACGTACAATTAAAATCCCATATGTTACTGTGCTGTTAGCTCTCCCAGTTTTGCCATTGTCCTGCTTGAAGCCTGTGGTACTAATAATTCTATCGGGATACTATGAGATAGCATTCTCCTCTTGCACCACAGTGGGGTCAGGACGGTCTCAACTCCGACGCTAAGTCACGTGTAAGTAAGCTAAACACAGATCCTGCTCTCTGAGCTCCTGTTGAGCATCGTTTGCCGTGTTCAGCTGTTACTGCAGGAGGCATGAAAAAGGAACTGAGACTAACCGGTGGAGAAAACAAATGCAGCGGCAGAGTGGAACTGAAGATCCAGGAGAAGTGGGGAACAGTGTGCGGGAACGGCTGGAGCACAAAGGAGGTGTCCGTGGTTTGCCGGCAGCTGGGATGCCCAACTTCTATCCAAGCCCTTGGATGGGCTAACTCCAGTGCAGGCTCTGGACACATCTGGATGGATAAGGTTTCCTGTACAGGGAATGAGTCAGCTCTTTGGGACTGCAAACATGAGGGCTGGGGAAAACATAACTGTACCCATGAGCAAGATGTTGGAGTGACCTGCTCAGGTAAGGCTTACCTACGCCAAAGCAAACGCCAAGCACATATTTCTGACTCAAGTCACAGTGTCCGTCTCTTGGGGAAAAAAAATGCTGAGTTGAATTCTAACACAATCATTCACTGATGCTGTGATTTCATGCAAATTATTTTAATCTTTCTAAGCTTCTGATAGCTCAATAATAAGGCACTTGCAGAGCTCATTGACACTGATATATAGCAAGTGCTGAAAAGGTCAGTTTCTTCACGGACCCCCATATTTCATTACCATGTTGACTCAGCCATCTTCATCTCTTCCTCCACCTCCTCATTTATTTAATTATTCATCTTTATGATGGAAAACGAAAGTAGCATTTACAACAAATTACAAAACCCTAAGAAATCTTCCGAGGCTCTTACCTGTATAGAGAGCTGATATTCAGCTATGGCTTCAATGTAGCACCCTCTGCTCTCCTTTCTTACATAACGAAGAGTGACCTTAAACTTGCTTTTCAAAGTTTATAAGCATAATAGTGCAACCAGAACCTAGTAAGAGAAAAGGAACCAAGAGCTGCTCAAGGACTCGGTGGTTTCTTGTGGCTCTGCTCTCCATATTTGTGAGATCCTTCACCCTGACTCCTGCTTTAGTCTGCAGCGTCCACCTCTTGGGAGATGGTGGCACACTAGTCAACAGTAAACTGGTGCCAGGCCACCCCCCAGCCTCTGGGCTACACACATCTTGGCTTCACAGTCTTTCTAGGTGATCAACGTTATGTCCAGCTACTGAGTCTCAGGTCACTGATCCATGATGGGCTAATGATGATAACATGTAGTGTTTCAATGTGCAAGAACTGAAGAACATGGCATGTGATGTGCTTATGTATACTTTGATTGTGACTTCTTATTCTTATTAATTATTATTACTAATTGCCCATAATGAGAACAAGCCTTGATGAGTTGAGTTCTTTGGTTGGAGCTTATAGCTCATAAAATTTAATTTCTTGTTCAAAAAAGTGCTTCTAAACATTCTGTTCAGCTGCAACTTCTCCAATGTCCCCAGAGTTCAAGCAAAGTCTACCTTCTTTATGTATCTTACATCTTATAGAAACTCATAGCATGACAAACACATTTCATTGCAAAAAAACAAAAACAAAACCTCCTCTTTGTGTTGAAAATGATAGTAAATGCCTTGGGGAAAACACAAACTTTAATTCAGAAAATGGAAATTATTTATTTTTCTATAATTTTTAAGAACTCGATAACACATAATGTTTTGCAAACTGTTGTGTTTATTTAGGCATTTTAACTAACTTTTTCGTATTTTTCAATTTCAAATTCAGCATCAATTGTTCATTCTCAGAACTCTTTTACTATGGAGAGGTTAAGATAAGGAATCTCCGTGTTCAGTAAAGGACCATTTTCTCATTTTCAACAACTGGATTAGAAAGCCAATTTCCTTTTTTCTGCGTGTGTGTGTGTGTGTGTGTGTGTGTGTGTGTGTGTGTGTGTGTGTGTGAATAATGAATCATATTGATCTTTTCTGTACCAAAGAGTATTTTGATCTCTACCACAATTTTCTTGGAAAGTGGATGTAGAGAAAAATGCTTATTGTTCATTGGATTTTAGTAGGTCAAAATTCTCTAGTATGTGAAAATGGGCAGTACCTAAAAGCCAAACACTATTTTTTAAGAATTGCATCAAATTCGAAGTATTCAGGAAACCCTAAAAGATGAATTGCTTATGAATGGACTTCACTTCCTAACCCCGGTCTTTTCTCTAGACGGATCCGATTTGGAGATGAAACTGGTGAATGACAGGGCTCAGCGATGTCTAGGAAGGGTAGAGGTGAAGTTCCAGGGAAAGTGGGGAACAGTGTGTGACGACAACTTCAGCAAAGACCATGCCTCTGTGATCTGCAAACAGCTCGGATGTGGAAGTGCCATTAGTTTCTCTGGCTCAGCTAAATTTGGACCTGGTTCTGGACCAATCTGGCTTGACGATCTGGCATGCAGTGGGAATGAGTCAGCTCTCTGGGACTGCAAACATGGAGCGTGGGGAAAGAATAACTGTAACCATGCTGAGGATGTTGGAGTGATCTGCTTAGGTAAGGACAACTCCAGCCTTTCTGTTCTCTGTGACAGACAGAAGGAAAAGGTACTGGGATTGTGAGCCCGAGTCCTTGAGAACATAATAAAGTCCAGTCAGCCTCCATGACCTCATGACTGTCTCATTTTGGGTCCCAGATCTAACACTGGTGGGTTCAGTAACTGAAATCAGAAAACGGAAGTAATTGTAGGGGGCCAGAGAGGCGCTGAAGAGATGGCTTGGTGATTAAGAGAGTCCTTACTGCTCCTGCAATGAACTGGGGTACAGTTCTCAGCATCCATATGGTGACTCACAACTGCCTGTCACTCTAGTCCACAAGGTACGGCCTGTCACTCTAGTCTCCAAGGGTACTGCACACACATGGTGCATATACATATGTCCAGGCATACACATATACATGTAAAAATTTCAAAATAAATAAACAAGCAATTAAAATAGTTACAGGAAAAATAATAAATAATGAAATTTAGTCTCATCATAAGGAGAGTGTTTAGGAAAATCTTGATGGGGTTGAAAACAAGGTGAAAGAGGGCAGGGGGACTAAGGAGCCAGCAGTAAATTTTGTGAATCTTTTGTACATGGGAATATTATATGCTGAGCACATTTTCCCCTCATAATCTCTTATCTTTTCCTTGTCTTTCTCCCTCCTGTTAGTACTCTGTCCTTTTAGACTGTTTTATTTCTACTTTCTTGTCATTTATAGATAAGTAGGCACAAGATAGGTAGATGATAGATAGATAGATAGATAGATAGATAGATAGATAGATAGATAGATGATATATAAATAATAGATAGATAGATAGATAACAGATGATAGCTAGATGGTAGATAGAGAAATAATATAAATATAGAAATATCACAAATACATCATTTTATATATCTATTGTAAAAATCTATGAACCACAACTGAAATAACATTCACTATTTGTCTTTCTGAAATTGGTTTAAAACAAACCACCCTCTTCCTCATCTTCTATCATCATCTTTTTAGCCACCTTTCAATCTGCTCCTTCCCAAACCATTAGCTCAAACATAGAATTCAATAATAAAAACGTAAGTGCCAATACATCAATACCTCACAAAGGCTTGGGCTATCTCAAGTAGGCACAGCCTGTGCCTGGTGATGGTAATACTCCACATAGAGATCCAGGCTGTCGGCTGTGTTTACCATAGGATAGTCTTCAGAATTAAGGATGGTTCTTTAAGGGGTATTGATTGTTGGAAATGAGAGGAGCAGCTCAGGCCCTTCCCCCTCCACTCTGCACTTAAACTTAGAAATATCCGATTAGTTCCTTTTCTACTGCTGTGGTGAAACATCATGATCAAGGCAACTTAGAGAAGGGATGGTTTATTTGGGCTTAAGGGTCCAGAGGGCTAGGAGTCTGTCACCATCACAGTGGGGAAACATGACAAGGGGCGGACCTGGAGGCTGGAACAGCAAGCTCAGCACTCA